GCGCGTGCAATTCACCCCCGAAGAGTCGGATGAGGAAGCACCCCCTCCTCGACTCCCCCAGCGCCCCCTATCAGACTCCGTGTCTCCTCCGCCAACCCAGTATGCGCAGCAGCGAGACCCGTCTCCCCCCACCAGTCAGCCCTCGCAACGCGTCACCTTCGACCAATATGATGCCCAGTTCCGGGACGACACGCCTGCTACTCCCGTGTCTGGCTCCGGCTACCACCTCTATAACATCTACGAATACCTCACACAGCCGGGCAAGAACAAGAAGATGCCCATGACGCTGGGTATCAATATACCAAAGGGGATGATCATGATTGCTCCTGAAAAATCCCGCGATGGCCCGCAGCAGGAATGGAGTGCGGAGAAGATGGAGTATTATTCCCAAGAAGGCAAGCACATCTTCATGGAGCTCAAGCAGCCCAGCAAAAGCATCGACTTCCACTGCGGGGCCAAAGACACTGCCTCGGAAATCATGTTTGCGCTTGGTGAGCTCGCTGGAGCAGCCAAGGGTGCTGGGCTGCGTGAAGTGCTCGCTGCTGGCTCTGGCAACTCGAACGTGCAAAAGAAGGGCAAGATGTTGTTCGACTTCATGGCACAAGGCGACGACGAAGTCACAGTAGGCCTCGATGACGAGATCCTGATTCTTGACGATTCAGCGAGCGACGAGTGGTGGAAAGTCAGACGGCTGAAAAATGGCAAAGAAGGTGTCGTGCCCGCTAACTACGTTGAGATCACAGAGACGGTCCCAATACACAATTCTGCTTCCCACATCGCTCGATCAGGCACAAATGCCGGTCGGTCGATAGTCGAACAGAACAGACGCGAGGAAGAGGAACTTGCGCGTCAGGCTTCGAGACGGAAGAGAACGGAGAGCGAAGCAAGGACCGATCAGGTAGGCCCTGGCCTGCATTTGCCCTCGCGTAATTCCAGCCTCATGCAAACAAACGTTGACCACCGTCGTACTTCGCAGAGATCGAGCAAGCGTGAAAGCTCTTCCAAGGACCCAAGCTCAAAGTCCTCCTCCAAGCCTAGTAAGTAGCATCCTTTAGTCTTGAGACTGCATGGTTTCGAGATTCAACATGACATGGATACCATGGGTCTGAAAGACGTCCCGTATTTGAAGAGAGTCTTTGCTAACTTTTTGCCTGTAGATCCCGCCAAGGTGCGCACTTGGACAGACCGATCTGGCTCATTCAAGGTTGAAGCCGAGTTCATTCTTATCAAGGATGGCAAGATTCACCTTCATAAAGTGAATGGTGTCAAGATAGCGGTGCCTGTAACCAAGATGTCAGTTGAAGACTTGGAATACGTCGAGCGTGTCACGGGTGAATCATTGGACGATGACAAGCCATTATCGGATCTAAAGAAAAGAAGTGAGCAAAGGGAGCAGCGGGCTCGAGATACAGGGCCGCGATCGCCGGCTGGAATCACCGTAGAGAAGAAGCCAGACTATGATTGGTTTGATTTCTTCCTCAAGTGCGGCGTCAATCCCCAGATATGTGAACGGTATGCCCAGGCCTTCTACAAGGATCAGATGGGTGAGGAGAATATACCTGATATCACGCCGACACTTTTGCGTACATTGGGTCTGAAGGAGGGTGATATCCTTCGTGTCACCAAATACCTAGATGGCAAGCTTGGACGAACAGGTGGTGACAAGCGCAGCGTCAGCTTTGCTGAAGATGGTGAGGAGGGAAGCGCGGGTGGACTCTTCTCCGGCCCTGGTGGCGCGCTGAGAAACAACACCCGCAAGGGACGGCCTGCACCTCCTGTCCAGACCAGCGATGTTGTCGATGCGAAGGCCTTTGAATCAAAGACAGACGGCTCAGTCAAGAAGGCAACAGACGGCACGGCAACTCCGTTGGTCTCTGCCCCGACGCCAAATAAGGTGGAAGGATTCGAGGATAATGCTTGGGATGTCAAGCCATCCAAATCAGCGTCTGCATCTACCGCACCGCCCGCTGCCTCACCATCCTCAACAGAAGCAGCCGCTCCTGCTGCGAAAGCACCTACGCTCACGGGCTCTCTAGGCGAGCTGTCTCTGCTCGATATGCCTGCATTGAAGCCTGAGGAGATAGCTCAACCAGCGCCTACCCCCGCCTCTCAGGCAGCTCTAGCCCCCCAATCCTCTCAGACCTCTCAACCAGCTCAAGGACCCGCCCCTTCTGCGCCAGCTCCTGTCCAACAAGCGCAGCCAATTGGTGCTACTCCAACTTTATTCGAGCAAGTTGCTGCCATCAAGGCTTTGACGCAGCCTCATAACATTGCCCCTCCTCGGATGCGACCACAAGCACCCCAGCAACAACAGGCAGGAGGACTCATTGCTCCACCGCCACAACGCTCCTCTTCTGCTCCCATGAATCCCCAACAGAGCGCATTTGGTCCGCCCCCACCGTTGCAGCCCCAACTTACAGGCTACAACCCAAACATGATGCAGAACATGCAGGGTATGCAACCGCAGATGACTGGATATACACAACAGCCTGGCAACATGGGTCTTCAAAATGGCCTCATGCCTCAACCAACAGGCTACAACGGCATGTCTCCACCACAACAGCCTATGCAGACTGGTTTTGCGCCGTTTCAACAACAACAACAACAACAACAACAAGCTGCCGGCTTCCAACAGCCCATGCCAACAGGCTATCAGCAGCAGGGATTTCAGCAAAACTTCCCCCAAAATGGAAGCCCATTTGCTGACCCTCCGCACGCACCATTCCAACCTATGCAGCCTCAGCAGACGGGCTATAGCACCTTTCAGCCATCCCCACTCAATCCACAAGCCACGGGTATCAACCGCTTTCTACCTCCTGCGATTCAGCCTCAGCCCACTGGATTCATGTCCGGACAGGCTCCTCCGCCCGTTCCACCGATGCCCTCGATGCCCAACATGCCGCAGACCAAGCCTCTAGTAGCGCAAAAGACGGGCCCCCCTCCGACGATCAAGTTTGGCGTGCCCGCAGCCAAAAAGCTGACGCCGCAACCGACGGGGAGGGCGAACCTTGCCAATGCCAGTACGTATTGCTCGCTCGCATTGTAATAGTCAATGGCCAACTAACAATGACACAGCTCCGCAAAATCCGTTTGGTTTCTAAATCCGGGTCGTGCTTGCATGGTGTAGCTCTGCTGTCGGGAGGCGTCTAATGATCATACTACTACATTTGCGCATGTACATAATTGTTCGACACCTTGGGTAGGCTCAGAGGGGTGTTGGAGGTGGGTTACTAGCGGCTTCTTCGTAGCACATTTTTGCCTCTTGATAGCATGTTATTGATATTGTATATGCACTCAGTCAGTACATGTATGGGATGGGTGAAGAGGTGGGGGGCGTTCTCATCATTTTCATGTTGGCTAGATGTTCTCGCCTGGCTGGGAGATGAGGATAGTTGAATCTTGGACAATAGGCACAGTGTCAAAGGTAGGTAGAGCAGGCAAGGTTCAGTCTGGGAGATGTCCGGGCGGGTGGCAATGGCAAGCTTTTGCCAAGAAGAGCTTGATATGGCTTGGTTTGATGGCCAAGGTGTACGCACGGATCATGAATCCAATGGTTCCCAAGGCTGGGGGTCCAAGCCACCGTTGGAGTGGCGAGTGGCTGGGCTGGGACACTTGGTGACTTGACAGGGACGGTTATGATTTGCGCAAACTCGATGGCTGTAGACAAGACAAGACAAGACAAGACTCTGCTCGGCGCAATCAAGGTGCCGAGGTGGTGGTAGGTGGCATGGATACGTAGGTCTAGGTACAGTGGATTGACGAAGAGCTTGTCCCGTCCCGATGGCCTGAGAGGCGCAGTCACACACGGCGGCGTCACAGTAACAGTATAGAGTACAGTCTACTGGGAGCAGGATGCAACACTGACCGTACTATAGCTATGCCGAGGATCCAGTGTCTTGCGCCAGATCACAGCTTCCAAACGATGAAAGTGGAGTACCCCTGGGGCTGCACAGGCAACAGAAGCTCATACAAGGAGGCCAGCCCGCTTCGCGCCGGATGAAGAGGGTTGAAAGACGGTGCTTACCCCAAGTCCGAGGGTCTGCGTGTGAGTGTGAGTGACTAGTGTGTCTCTGCATCTGTGTCTGTGTGAGTTGCTGGCCCACTCTCTCCCGTTTCGGCCATCTGCTTGCGCTCCTTGAAGATATACCTATCCCCTGTACCGACGACCCGCCGCCCTCACTGTGCATCTATCCTTTGCGCATTTGGCCCCCTCTTCGTCAACCTCGCGTCCTCCACAACTTCCTCCCTCGTGGCCGAAGGTCCCTGAGTTCCGTTTCCCATGTCTGCCCAAGGGTACTATCAGGGTCAGGCGCAGCCGCAGTACCCACAGCAAAGGTAAGCTTAAAAGGCTGGCCCTGGTTGGAAAAGAGAAATCTTGGACAACATCTCAGTACCTAACCTTGTCCCCAGTTATGGTCCCACGGGCGGCGGCTATCCCCCCCAGCAGCAAAACGGCGGAGCTCCACCTCAGCAACAGCAAATGTACTACGGCCCACCCCAAGGACAATCCCAATATCAGCAGGCGCCTCCACAAAAGCAAAAAAAGGACAGGGGATGTCTGGCTGCATGGTGAGCCATTCCACTGCTGAAAATCGAGCGACGAGGAGCACACCCATACTGACCATGCATCAGTCTAGCCACGCTATGTTGCTGCTTCGTATGTGAGGAGGGCTGTGAGTGTTGTATCGACTGCTGCGAATGTGCAGGGGATATGTGTTAAATGGGAGCATCAATCCCGTTTCCACGCGACTTTGCATGCTTCTGCATGTAAGCTCTAGTAGTAGCTTCTCCATACTCGTGGCTTGCAATCTTCAGGATTACATTGTGATTGCCCATCAATGTCTTGAAAGCATCTCGAGAACTCGTGAATGCACTCGTTTTGATCAGTTTCCAGCCAGAAGGAAAGAGGGAGGAGACTGACAGGTGTCAGTACAACTGTGAATGTGAGATGAGGACAAGGCTAACAACGGACGCAAGATAAATTCGGAGAATAGCAAAAGAAACTACTCTGCGACCTCAGTAATTTTGTAATTTTTTTCGTAGGCGACCACAACTCAAAGTCCACTTGTATATCACAGGCCGATAGCCGGTGTGTCCATGATCCAGCTTCATTTGTAATATTAAAGTAATCCTTGCATGTAGTAACTGTCGACGACCAATACTGGTCGTTGGGGGGGCCATTTTTCCCCTTGAAATCCCTACTAAGTTAGCCATCGGTAACATATGCCATGGCAGACACATGAAAAGCATCAAAATTTGCATAATTTTGGTTCTTAATCCGATATAATCTCATGAAGCCGAAGTTTCTGGGGCGCGGAGATGTCTGGTCAGTGGTGGTAGCAACAAAGATCTCACGGGACTGGAACGTATACATGTGGTCGAGATTGTGCGTACAAAGAATATAACAACATACCTATATCCCATATTGGCGCTGGACAGCCCATTATTCTTGTGGTTGTAGTACCTTGTGCCACTTATTAGTGTGTGCGCTGCGCCATATTGTACAACTTTTGTCATGGCCAATTTGATCCTCGCATTAAATTCAAGTTACGGTCTTCTTGATACCAATCTATATCAGTGTCTCGGTTTTTGATCGCAAATGCTTTCCCTCTGGGTCCTGCTCTTATTCCAAAGACGCAATATCCAACCTGTGTCCTATTCAACTACTGGTATTCTTGGCTGAGTGAATGACTTCGCGCATGCTTTTCAAGTATGTAGTCTTGACATTCCGAATTTGTCCTTTTTTATGGTCCCTCAGTCGTTGTGTTTGGCATCATCCAAGCTTCAAGAATACCAAGTACTTATTGTATCGAAAGATGTGCTGAAGACTTGGTCATTGTCACTACCGGTAAACACGGACTCATGTAGATGCTTTTGACCCATCCGTTGTGTGATACAACATGCCCGGCCATTTAACGGGTGTCATTCGTCAATGACACAGGGTTTCCCTTTGAGGCCAAACCTCTTTTGCATCCCAGCTGACAGCAGCTACCAGTACAACGAGCAGGCCGATTCCACAACATCTCGTCCCCGTCGGCTCAAACCCCAATCGCACGACGCATTGCAACCTATCCACCAAGCAATCCCATATCTTCAAGACTGCACTCCCCAGGCCTCCTGATCTCCCAGCGGTGCTTCGCGTCCCCCACACCGGTTGGAGGACTTGCGTGCACTTATTGATCTCTACTTGTACCATTCGTCGCCTATTTTTGTGTTGTCGCAATCTCACTCTAGCCATTCTACATTCTGCATGCGCGCCAGCCTCTTGGTTCAAGTGCCAGAGATCCAGGCTAAAGGAAGCGAATGAAGGAAGTGACGTGTCAACGTGAATTTCTTATCGGGCTACTCTGGATGAGCATGATAAAGGGTGGGAGTTTTCTGAAGGGAGCCCGAGTTGAGGAGGCTCAGCAGTGAGGGGAGCCGGTAAGACTAATCCATATTCAAAGTCAACAAGATGGCGGCATGTGTTTCCCTCCTCACTTAGAACAAAAAAGTATTTAGTGATTTGACAAATGCCCCAAATCATCCCAATTGGATTACCCTTGCCAGTCCTCCTGTCCGTGCCTCGTTTTTACAGGTCTAGGCTTCAGCCCCGCGGTCTTTCTCACCGGTTACATGTGACAAGGTACTGAAATGGCCATCTGGAAGTCTAGAATTCACGTCATCGCGGTCTCACTATAATAATACCCCGCACGAAAGGGTCACGGAATTGACTGCGTCCGGTGAACGTTCTTACACGGGGGCAGGGGGAGTCATTCCACCTTCATATTGCTCGTGGAGCATCAAAGTAGCTGAGCATGTTTATCCATTGCGCCATGGGACTTGTGCTAGGCGCGTCTGATTTTAAGATTTTTTGGACAACTTAATACAGGATTACGATGACAAGCAGCCCGTTGTAGCTGTTTGAGCTTAGATAATCTTAGTGGAGATCGGCACATTGTTGTTCGCTACTACGTCGGTGACTGTAATTCGATGGGACTGATCTATCAAATTTGTGGACACAGAATAGCCTGACTATGAAATCCTCTGGTCCACTTCACTGAGCTGATTCAGATGACAATCTGTCTGTATACGCTGACCGGGAGAACGATTTGAAAGTCGCTGGGATTTATGTAGATGAAGTTACAATTGGATTGAAATGCCACTGAAGATCGAGAAAGGCATAAAATCTTCTCAAGATTATACCGTATGCGACGTTCAAGTCCATCAAGAGAGTCCTGCGCGAGTTGAAGCGAAATGCCCACTCATATTTGCAGGTAATTAGGGTTCGATATGAAGACAACTTATAGGCTGTTACGTGCCGCGTGAGCCTCAGCAAACAGTCCATTTACTGTTTCCCTGAGTTGTCTTCACTCTCCACGAAAGCACGCCCTCGCGGCCTGCCGTCCCCAATGCTCCATTCGCCACCTTTACTTCTGATGAGACCCTCGTCAAGCAGATATTGTTCGAGTCCGGGATCTTTACGCCAGCTGGAAATATCAAGTATATTCATGCCGACCCTACGGTCTTTCTCAAGATGGGATCCTACATGATCCATGCGATCAGCCCAAGAGTTAGGCCCGCTGAAGTCCTTCGGACAGAAAATGCAAGACGACCGTTGTGGTGCTTTTCGTAGTTTACTGAAGCAACGCGTCTGGTGGTCTGCAAGGTTGGCTTCATTGACGGGGTAGTCTGCGTGTGAACGGGCTAGTTTGTCTTTAGGCCGGGCGTGCATTCGACGGAGATGTTGTCTGAAGAGATCCATGCGATTGAAGTCATTGTGGTAAAGAGAGTCCTTATCCTTGGGGTCCGATGTTGGTGCACAGATGTCACAGCGCCAGAAAGCAGTCTTGATATGCTGAGTAGAGACATGTCTCTTCCATTCATTCTTGGATGCGAATTCGGATTCGCATCCGTACGGAGCCAAGGGACACGGAAAATGCCGACGCTCCTCGATGGAATTGATAGTTTTAGGGGAGGATCTTGGAGCGTTTGATGTTTGTCTGTTTCTCTTCGTTGAATGTAAGGAGCTAGATACAAATGAATCCTTGCGCTTATGTACACGACGTCTGGTCGCTCGACCTAGGCCGCGGGTAGAGGCAGAGGATCGCTTTCGCTTTGAAGATCGATTGAAAGGGTTGTAATCCGAGTCTGAGGCTGGCCCTTCTTGATCGTCTACAGGCTGCACAGATTCTGCGTCTCGCGCTGAGTGCCTGATACCCGATGCCGCATAATGTGTTCTTGTCGAACAAGTGTCAGAATTAGAAGTAAGTGTATCCTGATTGTAGTTCATCTCTTGCTCGAATGTAGCGTCTTGGATCCCTTCCACTTCTTCGCCGCCTGCTTCTGGTTGTAGCACAGGGCGTTCGATCTCAAGCTCACGAGGATTGACTACAGTATGAGATATACTGGTTCCTAGTAAGTAGGATCCAATTTCAAAGGGCTCTGTCGAAGGATATGAGTGTTGTGATTGTGGGCACTCTTTTGAACCACTGTACAAATCCGGGTGATACATAGGTGACGACCGAAGCTCACAGTGACTGGCATGGCTTGAAAAACCTGAGGTAGAAGAACATTCCGGAGACAGAGTACGCGCCATGTCTACAAAATGCCATTGCTGTGCGTAGTTCTTTTCGATGGGGGATGACGAGGGCGTCCTAGTAACAGGTGTTTGAGGATGAAAAGGTCCTTGGTCGTGCCTAAAACGTTGCATGGGCTGTAAATTGACCAGGCCATTGTCCGAATCATCTGAGTAGTCACTGATCGGCTCCAACCCCATGATGGTTTGTTTGTATGTTGGCAAGTGGTACTCATGATCTACAGGCCAGATATAATATCCTTGTATCTGAGGTAAATCTCTATATTGGTTGATAGCCATGTCTTAAGCCCGACGTGATGATCTCGGTGCCGTTCGGGATTTCTCCTGGCAATCGAGTATGGAGGTGTGTACAAGGTGATAGCGGTGGATCAAGCGCCGGGTCAGGCGGCGTGTGTCCTGGCTTGATCTTGTCAGAGGGACCTTGTTTGGCTTCCATGAATGCTATCTCACCTCGATGTCTCGTAGCTATTCGTTCAACGATACCACAGATTGACCCGAATGTATGAGACAGAGATGTCAGTGGTGAATAAATCTGAACTTGATGTTATAGAGGTGCCTGTAGGACAAAAGGCAGCGGGCTATCGATTTCAAGGCAGAGTGCTCAGGTAACAGACTTGGGATTCTTGTTGTTAAAATGCGTGGCCCGCAGTCCCGGTGAACCTGGGCCTGCACTCGGCTCTCCATACTCTACCCCATTTTATGGTGTATAACCCACAGAGCCGCATTCTCTTACATTTCGTGCTCATTGGCGCTCAAATTAACAGGGGCCCCTCCACTCAGCTACAGAGCTGCTGAAGCCCCCCTGCATGCCCATCGCATGGGTTCACCGGTTCTGGGCGGCCGTGTCATGGCTCCAAAGCCACCACCATCCAATACATGGGCATATGGCTTTGGCCTCTAACGCGGATAGGACGAAACCCACAGAGCAAAGCCCCAGAAACAAAAAGGAAATCACACCAGAATTGGGCAGATCGGTGCTACATCGCGATAACAGTCAGCTGACAGAGGTGCCTAAGTTGCATCTGAGGACTTGCAGGATTCGCTAGAGCTTGAGCCATTGGAGCGGAACGAGTGAAGAAGGTGAGAAGTTAGTCTGACACTCCACAAGTTCGTGGTTTGGGGGCCGGACACTAACTGTGATGATGCTTGAAAATGCAGATGTTAAGGATTTGGATCATCGTCCTGGATTGTCGGAAGCCCCATTCTAGAGCCACATCACAAGGGTATTGTCTGTAGATAGACTTTTCGTACCACCCGCACCTAGATGAGGTGTGGACCGCTCTGAGTGTTCCGCGGATTGAAAATATTATCGAGCAGTCCAGGTCCCGATCGCAACATGGCACATGTCAAACAAGAACAACCTCCGACCGGTGGTGTTGGAGTATGGTCCTTCATTGGACTGCAAGATCAGCGGTAGCAGAGGAGGAACCCCTTTCCTGCAAGCATTTCCGAGCAAGGGGATCAGAATAAGGCGCAGCACTATCTGCCTTCTAGGGTGCTGTCATACTGCTGTGCCAGCGGCACATGTTGTGATGGCCAAGTTGATCCTGCCATAGGATTCGCGAACGAAGGCTGACACAGTGCGCCTCGACTGTTTCGCCAGCTGTACCTCCACCACCCACCTCTACATCAAGGCCACGGCCCAGCCCTCAGACTTTAGGCACGCACAAGTTGCGATGCATTGCCTGTGCGCTGTGGAACAGCCACACCATGGCTCTAGGCTTTGCAGGCGCACTTGGGGGCGGGAGCGTCCCGCATACGTCGAGACGCTGAGTTGCAGGGAAGCGCGTGGATGGAGGACTTTCCGCAAGCTTTGGTCCTGCGCCGTCTGCTCATACCGGTAAAAGCCTCCTGGCGAGTTGCCCAGCGCCCCCTGTCTCAGCATTCGGGGGAAAGTCAGTATAGTCATTGTCAACGAATGTACCAGCAGGCTGTTGTCGTATTCTTCGCCGGTTCTGCTCGAGGGTGTCTCGAGAGAGCTTTGGAAGGCCCTCGAAATGAGCCAACTACAGGCGCATATTCTCCCTAATGTACAGCACCTCATCTCCCCGCATAAGCCGGCTATGCCACCGATTCCACGACGGACCATCATCGCCACAGCAACCACGCAGCCGGGACCTGATTGCCATAGATACTGCCTACCTATCCTGTGGTCGGCTACGTGGTTCAACACCCTTGTGTTCTTCAGCATCCTTGTTCGTATTGCAATATGGGGTGAGGGCTGACTGCCGTCAAAAAATGTCATGAACGCCTCTGTCCCACTTGGCAAGGTGAGGACGATTATGCGAACCCAACCACACGACGGATTCACGCCGCAAATTGGGCCACAAGACGATCCTCGATACCCTCCAAGATCCATCTGTGCTCAAGAACCTCGAGATTCTCGGCTTCGCTCAGGAAGAGCTTGTCAGGATCTTGCTCCGGGCCCATCATCCCGCCTGCGCCTCCGTTCGCCATGGCCATCTGTTGCGTGACCTGGTTGGCGGCTGAGAAAATCGCAGTCAGCCCATGCTTAATCAGGACGATGGCTCTCTCGACCTCGAGAAGTACGTACCATTGTTGCTGCCAAGAATGAAGTTATAGACTGGCTGTAATCCGAACAAAGTCAGGAAGTACCAGGACAAGCTGGAAACCCATCTAACGTCGAGATCACGCGTGCCCACACCAGACTGAAGCATAGACTTGAACTGAGGCGTCAAAGGAAAAGGCAATTTCACTGTAGATCGGGTTCAGTTAGCAAGTCATTCCCATTGCAGGGCTGAGGAAGGGCATCGGATAGCCCATGCCAGCACAGCCGGGAAGGAGGTGATTCGAACAGAGCGTAGGATGCCAATCCTCGCTTCACCATCGCGAACAGCCCTCCGCTGCCGAGGGTGAGAGCGTGGAAGTAGAAAGCTTCTCCTTGTGGTATGGGTTGCGAGGCGGTTTCTCCATGCCAACAAAGATCCAGCCATCATGCAAACTTCGCGTTGGAGGGTGGTGCACTTACTGATCACAAAGCCAGAGAAGAAGGCATTGATCCAGCCCATGATCAACGTCTGTGGGATCATCATAGCCATATTCCCCTTCATCATGCCCATCATGCCTTCCATAGCTGCAGGGTCGCTCATGGGGTTTGGCCTCGGCTTGCCCCTCTGTTCTGGCTCGGCCAGGAACTTGCCCTCTTGGTATGCTTGCACCATGTATGCTTTGCGCGCGGCAAATGCAGAAGGAGTGAGTGCGTTGGCGTTGGTGCGTAGATTGACGCCGCGGATGAGAGAGCGCTGCTGTCGCATCTTGGGAAGGTCGACTTTCTTCGGCGTGGTTTGTAGGAGCGTCATGGCGTAGTGGCGGAGGATACCCGTGAGGATCTGGGGGCCATGAGTTAGCCTACTCTAGCGGAGAGTCGGGTCATGGAAATCGAGGCAACTGAGGTGAAAGCATACCATGACCACGGTGATTGGGAGTAGAATCCACCAACTGTGCACATGTCAGTCGTCATCCTTCTTCGCGGCTCCCATGACCATCATGCAGCATGCACGCAAGTGACATACAAGAGGGCAGGATCCCTGTGGATCGTCTGGACTACAGGTTGCGCCATCTTGTCGGTACCTGAACCAATAATGTGGGGGCGATGTAAATGGTAGAGACGAGGAGGAGGACTAGGGAAAGCGGTGTTGTTGTTGTTGTTGTTGTTGTGGTGGTGGTGGTGGTGGTGGTGGTGGTGGTGAAGGTAGATATGGTTGCGATGGGGTGTGTGGTGCAATTATGCGATATCAGTCATTGATGATGAGCTCTCTCTCTCTCTCTCTCTCTCTCTTTCCCGCGGGCGGAGCCTTTTCACGCGGCGGGACTAGGTACGGCGTACGCTACGGCGACGAGGGTAACGGCAACTTAGGCCAGGGTCCAAAGGGAAATGTGTCCACCAAAAGCCAGAGTAGCACAACACAACATGTACCTTGGTTACTCTCTTACTTACTCCAGCTTACTAGTAAATCAACAACCACACCAACCAAACAACTGCACAGTGCCAAGCGCACCCACCCACCACAAATCCTTATTACAACTGCTCTTCTGAGCCCTCCTGTCTAGTACATTGATACATTGTCGCAATCCAGCATGTCGGCAACCCAGAAAATCGCAGTCCATTCCTTGCCTGGTATGCGCACACTCTGACTCCAACCCCATGACACCCGACCACATTGCTCACGCTCCCCTCAGATCTCAAGAACACCACCGACGACGCGCTCCCCAACTACCTCAACTCGCTGAAATTCAAGCAAATCCACACACAGACCGATGTGCGACTAGTCCTCGGCTACTCGGCCGTCATCATTGCGGGCGCGCTCTTCTACTTTGATTGGAAGTTTGGCTGGGAAGCCTCGAAGCCGTACACCCTACCAGCAGTCGTCGCCTACTTCGTGCTCAATGGCGTGTTTAGCTACTGGCTATGGTTTGTGGAAAAGGGTGTCGTGTATGAGGGAGAGGGCAAGACTGGCAAGGTACGGCCTCGATCCACCGACATGTTGACCAGCCCAGGACACGCTAAGCTGACATGCAAATCCCACCCTTCCAACAGATCCGCATATCCTCTTCCACCAAAAAGCACATTCCCATCTATGAATGCGATGTCGTCTACACTCCCGCACCCTACGCCTCCAATCCCCAGCAAAAATTGCACATTCGTGCACCCATGACGCGCTGGTTCACTGCAGACGGTCACTTTGTCGCAAGGCCCTTTCAGCAATGGATCGCTTCCGAAGTGCCCGTGGTGGGTGCTGCGGACCCCAACAATGTGGTCGAGGAGATTGGAAGGGGCTCCAGTGGCATGGACTCGACTCTGAACTTGAATGCGACCAATGCGATGGATGTCTTGGAGCAGTTGAAGGCCAGTGGGGCCAAATTGTCGGCAAACGATGGGGGCCAGCGGAGAAGGAAGGCATAGGGCATCGTTGCGTGGCACGCAAGGCTGAAGATAGTTTGTATTTTGCTCCATGAGCAGCGACTCCTATTTGGTTGGTAGTTTGAGCGGGCTTTGGATCTCATCTTCCTTGACGAGCACGAGATGCATATGGCATTAGTTAGTGGTGGATGGCATCAATTTTGTTCACAAATTCAGGGTATCCAGGAACACTATATTATTCAAATACGCTGCAAACGCCACCCAATGCCCGTGGGAACAATGACCTGTTCATAGACTTCGTAAGAAGCATGCTTCTTTGTCTTCGTACCCAATGCATCCCTTTGTTTTCCAGCTGACATTTCCTCTTCTCGCTTCATGAGGATCTACGACATCTGCTCTTCAAGCATAGGCAGCACCTCTAGCTCCCTCTGAATGATCCGCTCAAACTCTTCTCTGTCAATGCCCGACGCCCTGGCCAGACGGAACAGACTCTTCATGTCGGTGCTGATGTGTTGTTTGATGGCCAATTCTGCTTGACTATGAAACTCAGCTTTACGCTCAAGGCGTTCTACAGAGTTGGACGATGCGGACGAAGAAGGACGCGGATGATTCAAAGCCTTGCCATGGAATCCCTCAATACCTTCTATAGCAACGGCACTGTCGTTGCCATGTAGACCATGACTCGTTACCGCACCCAATGTGGATGCAGGAGGTAGCGAAGAATCATAGCCATTGGGTCCGAGGTTCGAGGTCTCAAGGGGCTCGACCTGCGATGAGAGCGTGTAGTGTAGGGCATCACCATTCAGTGTAGAATTACCCTCGACCAAATTCTCCCCGTCTGGATCATGTGCGTCCAGCGCAGGCTGTACTTCAGACGCATAACGAGCAAAGTATTCAAGCTCAGACTGCGAGGCTCCAGGCTGCGCACGACTATTGGCTCCCGGCGCTGGCGACCGCTTCAGTGCAGGTGTCTGGGCAGGCGTCTGATCGTAGGCTGCCCAGTATGAATCATCATCTTCCTCTTCGGTCTCCCGTACCACGGACTCGGGCTCGATGCGTGTTACTTGCTGATGGTGGGCGGTGCCATTGGCCCAAACAGGCTTCCGTCGGAAGCCTGCCTCGTCCGCCTCGCTCAAATCCTCGAACCATTCAGTACCATCATCCTCGTCTTCGATTCCTCTGAGCTCAGCCAACAGCCATCGGCTTCCACCCTCTTGGCTTGTGCACCACAGATAGGTTGGCACAAGGGCAAACTCACTCAGCACCAGTCTTGCGTGTAGCGTCTCGGGATCTGAGCGCCGGTACAGAAGGCGGTCCGGTTCGTCCACCTCGATCTCGCCTGACGAGGGATGTGGCTCCAACTGAATCCTTTCCATCCTGTGTGGTAGTCTCGAAGCCACTTCCTGGTCCCAGCAGAGCAGAGAGAGCCATTCTGTGGAGTCGGAGGCAAGCAGCTGTACGCGCTGGCGGAGAATGGGTGACAGGAGTGGCAGCAGGCCTGGGGGGACTTGTTTGGATGCGCTCGCTGTCGAGAGACAGGCTAGAAGGGGTGGGAGAAGCTCCCTTGGGTCGGGGCGTGGGATGATCGGCTTGAGTGCTGGCATGACTACGATGTTGCGGGCAAAGGCAAGCGACAAGAGGGCCGTGGATGAGGAATGGTCGAGTGGAATTCTGTAGAGTCGAAGAGAAGACAGTTCTAGGCGAGATGAATGATCTGGTCGTGTGCAATTTTGTAATTTTTCTTTGCAAACTAGGGGCCTGTGTGGGTGTCCCTATGTGGGTGTCCAGTTGGTGCTTCCCAAGCTCTCTGACGCTGTCACATGCGGACGCACCCAGGAGCACTTTGAGTGATGGGTGCGGAAAGCAGGCGACGGGAATTGGGCGATGCGAGGAATGGCAGACGATGGGACGGATGCGAGGAATGGGCAGGAGAAGCAGAAAGGGGCAGGAGGGGGCAGGAGGGGGCAGGAATATATGTGAAGAGAAGAATAGCGACCCATGTTGGCGGTTTACAGGCTGGCCGCTGGTGCATGTGTGTCTCTCTTCCGTGTTTCCTCTAGTCTCCGTTCCACCGAAAGTTGATCGGTTGCGCCTGCCCCCGATAACTGGCCGCTAGCGTCGATGAGAAAGGTAGTTGCCCCTCACAGCTCGCCATGTGTACAATGGTAGCTAGGTACATGTGTACAAATAGGTTTATGTGTACAAATAGGTTTATGTGTACAAATAGGTATATATGTACAAATAGGTATATGTGTACAAGTAGGTATATGTGTACAAATAGGTATATATGTACAAGCAGGTATATATGTACAAGCAGGTATATATGTACAAGCAGGTATATATGTACATAGTAGCTATGTGTATGCTATGTGTATGTTATATGTACATGTATATAGTGCTGTGTTGTGTACATCCATCCAAGCTACCTATCTACCCAGAGAGGATGCTCTTTCAACTCAACCCAATTGCAGATGCCTTGTTGATAGCCACTGTACCTACCAGATACTCGATTGTCGCGTCCTCAATCTGCCATGAACACTAGACAGACTAGGCCATTGTGCTGTTGCCGTTGCCGTTGCTGTTGCTTTGGACCGCTGCGACTATGGTACTACTACTACTCATGGACTCACGAGCTTGACGTCATATGCATCTACTGTAGAGTCATGGACGCACAATACTAGGCATCTTCTATAGATAATCTAGCGTACCGTTGGCACTGTGCCACAGCGTGCTGTCGATCATGTAGTCTACAAGGTATGTCAAGTAGTGCATGGAAGGGTAAATAACATGCATAGGTAATAGGGTAGCTAGAGTAGGTAGCTAGGTACATGATGGAGCTTCCAAGGTTGTCGCTCGCTGGCTTGGCTGACCAAGGGGCTTTTCCACATAGTCGGTCAATAGGTAGGTATTTATAAATTATAGCCTACCCTCGGCATCGGCTGCGACCAGACACACATGCTTGCTAAAATGCTAATGCTACCTACCGGTAACCGTCTAAGCGCCCACCTCGACTGCTCACAACGGGCCAGAGGCTTGTCGAGTCGATGTGCCACCTGTGTGTGAGTGTGTGTTTCAAACAATTCAGCCATCAACCAGCGCATAAATGATAAATGGCCCACCGCCTAAGGTATGGGGTTCCCAGTCGTCGCAAAAGTGAGGTCGTGACCGGTACACCTACCGGTACTAGCCCTGAGCCTGAGGCATACATAGCCATGCCTCCTCCGTATCTACCCACTACCAGTACCTATTGTACAGTATACTGCCACCTACCCCTTGCTCTTCCAGCAACTGGAGGCTGTGCTATGGTAGGTAGGTACTGTGGTAGGTACTGGCAGGTACTGTGGTAGGTACTGGCAGGTACTGTGGTAGGTACTGTGGTAGGTACTGTGGTAGGTAGGTAGGTACCGCCCGGGAATGGCCATCAAGCCTGCCAAGAGCCTGTCACCCATCCCCGTCTCTACCTAGGTACCTACTGTACCTACAGGCCTACCTCTGCGAATCTGCCTCGACACACCAGTCAAGCTCACGGCTACTGTCGCGCCCTCGCGCTTGTTTTCTCATTCGAGCTGCAACCCACCTGTCTTGTCTTCCTCCCTCCCTCCCTCCCTCCCTCCCTTCCTTCCCTCTTTTTGAACCTGGCTTCTGACCTTCACACCTACTGTCCCCACACTGCACACTGCGCACCTCGCCCTAGAGCTTTCAGCCCGCTCGGAATTCCTTTGGCAAACCTACCTACTCTGCAACCTT